CGAACCTGCAGACAAGACGATATCCACGGAGTACACCTCGTTCGCCTCAAACGCAAAATCCTCCTGCTGCAGCAGCAACAGCAGCAGCAACAGCAGCAACAGCAGCAGCAGCAGCAGCAGCAACAGCAGCAGCAGCAACAGCAACCACAGCATGCCTCTATCATCAGAGAAGAGAAAATCTAGACGAAGTCAGCAACACAATACTATCCTGTTGCTGCTGCTGCTGCTGCTGCTGCTGCTGTGTTGCTGCTGCTGTGCGCTTTGGAGCAGCAACAGCAGCAGCAGCAGCAAAACAAACTAAAAATAAAACGAAAAGAAACAAAAAGAAAAACGCANAGCAGCAACAGCAGCAGCAGCAGCAAAACAAACTAAAAATAAAACGAAAAGAAACAAAAAGAAAAACGCAACCGCAAGCTGCCTATACACCGCAAACAGCAGCAGCACCAGCAGATAATAAAGAAAGAAAACAAAACAAATAAAAACAAAAAAAATAATAAAACAAAACAAAAACAAAAAGAAAAAGAATAAAGTTTAGTTTTGTTTCTCCCCTCACCTTCTCTTCTCCTGCTGCAGTAACCAAAGGAAAGCAGCGGCTCCCCTCTATTACGTGCTGCTTCAGCTGGTAGCACAGCACACCCTGCAGCAGCAGCAGTAGCAGCAGCAGCAGCAGCAGCAGAAGCAGCAGCAGCAACACCAATATGAGCAACAGCAGCAGCAACAGAAGCAGCAGCAGCAGCAGCAACAGAAGCAGCAGCAGCAGCAGCATCATCATCTACAGCAGCACCAGCAGGATCATCATCATCAATAGCAGCAGCAGCAATCCGTAACAACAGCAGCAGCAGCAGCAACCAACAACAACAGCAGCAGCAACCAACAACAACAACAGCAGCAGCAACCAACAACACCACCACCAATAACAACAACAACAACAACAACAGCAGCAGCAGCAGCAGCAGCAGCAGCAGCAGCAGCAGCAGCAGACCTGCATGGGTTTGACGCCCATATCCTCAGCAAGAGCCTCAATAGTTTTGGTGACCTCGCTGGCGTGTGCTCCTATTTCTATCTTTCTTACTGCTGCTTCTGCTGCTAGCCAGCTAGCCTTTATAACGAGAGCAGCAGCACCATCAACAGCAGCAACTGCTGCTTCTCCTTCCTGCTGCAGCTGCTGCTGCTGCTGCAGATATTCTTCAGTTGGTGGGGGTAGTGCAGCTAGAGCCTCTGTTGTTGCTGTTGTTGCTGCTGCTGCTGCTTCTGCTGCTGCTGCAGCAGCAGCAGAACTACTGTTGCTGCTGCTGCAGCCGAAAGCAGCAGCGTTGCTGCTGCAGCAAACCACTGTATATGCAGCAGCAGCAACAAAACCATCAACGTGGGCCCCCAAACTAACCTTAACTATATCTCCTTTCTTCAGCAGCAAAGAAGCAGCACGCTCACAAGGAGAGAAATTACAATACACCTCATTCACACTTATGCTCGTCGGGACTGCTATGCCTGCAGCAGCAGCAGCAGCAGCAGCAGCAGCAGCAGCAGCAGCAGCAGCAGCAGGTGGGGGAGCAGCAGATGAAGGAGCGGCAGAAAAGATGCAGCAGCAGGAAGAAGGGCAGCAAAAGCAGCAACAGNGGGAGCAGCAGATGAAGGAGCGGCAGAAAAGATGCAGCAGCAGGAAGAAGGGCAGCAAAAGCAGCAACAGCAGCAGCAGCAGCAAATGGTTCGTTGCAAACGTAACTGCTGCTGCTGCTGCTGCTGCTGCAACAGCAGCAACAGAGACAGCTGCAGCAACAGAAGCAGCAGGAACTGCCCCATCAGCAGCAGCAGCACCACCACCACCAAAAGCAGCAAACACAACAGCACCAACACCAGCAGCACCAGCAACAACAGCAGCAGCAGCAGCACGAGCAGCAGCAACAGCAGCAGCAACAGCAGCAGCAGCAGCAGCAGCAGCAGCAGCAACAAACCTTTTTCTATTTTATTTTTTTTAGTTTTTTTTTGATAGACTTTCTTTGCTTCGCCGTCGATAAAGAAATCCCCAAAAAGACACAAAGAGAACACATCCGCCCCAGGCACCACCCGGCTCAGCACCTACACACAAACCCTAAACCCTAAACCCTAAACCCTAAACCCTAAACCCTAAACCCTAAACCCTAAACCCTAGACGTAGAGGGAAAGGATAGAGAATAAATAATACAGGAGAGAGGATGATGAGATAAAGAAGAAATACAAAAGAGAGAAGCTAAATAAACAAAACAAAAAACAAATAAATAAATAAATAAATAAATAAATAAATAAATAAATAAATAAATAAAATAAATTAGTGCAAACAAAAGAAAGGAAACAAAACAAGAAAAAAAGAGAAAACGAAACAAACACACCAACAACAGAAACAGCAGCAGCTTAAAAACAGCAACAAACCGCCCGACAGACACACAGCAACAGCAGCAACAGCAGCAGCAGCAGCAGCAGCAGCAGCAGCAGCAGCAGCAGCAGCACCTGTTTCAAGGCTGCATTGGCGATGTCTGCAGCAGCTTTTAGCTTCTCTACGGCCTGCGGGCTGCTGAGCTCCTGGGGCCCCTCCTTCTCCCCCTCTGTCATCTCGTGCTCACTCATCCTGCTGCAGCAGCAAACATATACTCGCCATATACACAAACAGCCCTGTACACCCCAACACACTGATACCC